TGATGAATAAAATAGTTCAAGAGGACCTGTATAGTTGTAGGAATTATTCTCGGTCCTCCACTTCCACCAATCACACCCTCAAGTTCTCGATCCTATGTAACATAAATGGAATATGCAGTAAGAAGGTATTTTCTCATACGAGAGAGAGAGAGCCAAGATTCATGTAGCCAACCCCAATTAATTGGAAAAAACCTAAAATGATGATAAAAGACCAGAGAGAGAGAGAGAGAGAGAGAGGACCTTGAGAAATATGGTGGGCATCATGGAGGATAAAGGCCTTTTAAATGGCTCGATGTAGTTTGCACTTGCTGACGGTATAGTGGGATTTGAAATGTCTGTAGGGATGTTGAAATCATCCATCTGATTGTTGAGTATTATCCCTGTTTTACAAGACCTAAACAATGCTCCAAATAAGCCATTAATAGAGGTAGTCATAGAAACTGCGCCCCTGTGCCTACCGACGACGCACAAGTGACTGGTGCCATGGTCACGGAGTAGCCTCAACCTGCAGGAAAAGATGATGTTTTGAATGTGGAGGTTTAAAGTTCAAAAAATTGTGAAAGAGCGAGCTCAATGGTTTTGTAATGAAATTCTCACGATGTGGTTAGACAAGAGATAAGGCTTCATTTAGCCACTAAAAGGCGTTGCCATTGACATGCATGAAGAGATTTAGAGGACAATATTTTGTGTGAAATTCTCAACAACCATAGAGAGGGATGTGGGTTAATCCTTCCAAGATCTTCTCTTTCTAGATCATTATCATTTTATTGCTAAATAGAAATGATAATCTATAATGTTGTGTTATTTATGCTGAAACAAATCCACTCTGTTCATCCTAATTTGTTTCATATAGTTAGTTTTAATGAAATGAATATATATTTGGCAAAGGTAGCGGTCTCTATAAATGAAGCCACTGTGTGGCATGCTCGCCCCCTCTTATTTTGTAATGACTTACATTTCATATGATGTTACTACTGTTCCCTTGCCAAGGGTTGTATAAGAAGAGTTTATGTAAAACCTCTTTTGTTTATTAATAAAACAGGTAGGGGCCCGATATCCCCATTGATTCACACAAAAAAAAAATATAAGTATACCTTCACATACTACACCCTAAAAGAATAATAAATAAATAAATAACAATAGTAAGCAATAAAAAAAAAATGCATTGTTTCTATGCAGCTAACCCGCATATTGTACAAATGTGGGCCTTGCAATAAATATATTTTTTAAATATATTTTGATCCTAATTTTTAGAGAATATATAATCTTTAACATTAAGATCAAGAATATGAAAAAAGAAAAATTGAAAACTACAAATAATAAATTTATTAAGAAAACATTTGGATCGTTAGTTATTCATGTTTTTAGATGGACTACCAATTTACATCCATCTTTTTAGATGAATGCTTTATACCTTTGAACCGCATATTGTAGAAATGTGGTCCAACCCGAATGAAACAATTTTCTATAAAAAAAATCATAACAATAAAATAAAAAGTAAAAATCTCCCTTACTCAAAAATATTTGACAACAATTGTGCAAGGAAACAGTTTATGTCAAATGAGCAGTACCGCTTTAGTGTTGCTAGCTATTTGGAGAAGAAGCTTGAAGAATAGGGATTGTAAACAATGAGGTCATTTACTTTTAGTACAAGGAAGTCAAAATTACTTACATCCATCCGATTTGAAATATGATAGCTTGGGTGTATTATAAAGTTTGAAAAAAATTATTTTGGACTTTACGCTCAATCAATGAAATAAATGCAGACACCAAACTTCACATCTAATAATCAATACTCATTGTGATCGACTTGAATTTAAAGATAAATGGCCTCATTATATACTCTCCCTTAAAGAATATATATGAGTACCTTTTAAGATGAGACGAAGGATCACTAGCTTTGTCGTATATATGAGTACCTTTTAAGATGAGACCAAGGATCACTAGCTTTGTCATCATCTATTTGGTCCTTCAAATCTGTTGCTGTGTCGTCAGAGAGCATATCGTTTACAACATCTTCGACATGTATTTCAAAGTCTGGGTCACCTAGTCCCTTTCTCTTTACAAGCATCTTCTTGATTGCTTCAACCATACGGTGG